CACAGCAGAGAGCTGGCCTGGAAGAGGGGCAACCGGGACAGAATCCGGCGCCTGGACTGGAACTAGAACCCAGTGTGCTGGCGTCGCAGGTGGAGGATTAGCCTATTGAGCTGCGGCGCCGGCCTCACGCCTGAATGCTTTCTTGCGGGAAGACAAGGACCCTTGCATTCTCTGGTAACCCTCTGACTATAGGTTCCAGGGTCCTGGACTCCCCTGGACAGAGGTGGGGGTTCCTTCCCCCACGTTCCCCTCTAGTCTGGGGCAGGTCTTTCGCTGGTGCTCAGCAGTGTACCCTCGTCGTGGGGTTGGCCCACAGCGTGTGTGAGAGTCCTTGGTGGGTGAAGCAGGCGGCTTGTTCCTTCTTCCTGGTTCCCAGGGGGTGCACAGTGGCTCCAGAATTGCTGAGCGGGTGCTGGGTGTGTACTCCCCCGTCCCGATCCAAGGCCTCTGGGGCTGCAGGGGAGAAACCAGACACGGAATGTTGATCTCCTGTCTCCCTTCCACCCTTCTGTCCCACCCAACCTTGGCCTTGGGCCCGAGGCTGCCGGGATGCTGGTGACTCATCGCGATGGGGAGTTGGGCGGAGAAGAGAGGGCGCAGGGTGGAGTGAGTGAGTGAGAGAGAGACCCAAGGCATCATGGCTTTCCCAGGGACCCCAAAGACTGCATCTCAGATCGGCCACAGGAACCTCTCCCTCTTCTTCCTCCTCCTCTCACCACCCCAGCAAGCTCCCCCCCCTTCCACCCCCCACCGCCCGTTCCCTCCAAGCTCCTGCAAGGAGGCGGAAATGAGTGTGTAGCTGGGAATGTTTCTGAGGTTGGACTATATTTAGGCCAGGAGGGGAATATGTGTGTGGTGCTGGCCAGGCTGCAAAGGAGTCAGGCCAGGGGCCCTGAACTCTTGTAAGGACTGGGGTGGGGGTGGGGTGGAAGGTTCTAGAAGCAGAGAAGGCTCCCGAGGCTGAAGCATGTCCGGGTGCACATGCAACTCCAACACCAAACCAGCAAGACTGGGCACCGGCATCAGAAGGGCTGCTGAGCCTTGCCTGGTGTAGTGGGGGTTAAGCTGCTGCCTGTACCGCCGGCATCTCCTAGGAGCTCAGGTTCGAGTCCCGGCTGCTCCAATTCTGATCCAGCTGCCTGCTAACGCACCTGGGAAAGCAGCGGAGGATGGGCCCCACGTGCTTGGGTTCCCCTGCCACCCCTGTGGGAGACCCCAGATGGTGTTCCAAGCTCCTGGCTTCAGCTTGGCAGCTTTGGTGACTATTTGGGGAGTGAACCAGCTGATGGAAGATATCTCTCTCTCTCTCTCTGCCTCTCTCTGTGTTTTTTTTTTTTTTTAAGATTTATTTTTGTTTATTTGACAGCCAGAATTACACAGAGAGATCGGAGGAGAGAGAGAGAGATCCTCTATCTGCTGGTTCACTCCACAAATGGCTGCAAGTATTGGAACTAGACAAGGCTGAAGCAAGGAGCTTAGAACACCCTCCAGGTCTCCCACGTGAGTGGCAGGGGCCAAGGACTCAGGCCACCTTCCGCTGCTTTCCCAGACACATTAGCAGGGAGCTGGATCGGAAATGCAGCAGCCGGGACTCCAACAACCTCTTTGACCTGGAATGCCAGTGTCCTGGCAGCTTTATGCTCCATACCACAACACTGAACCCTCCATGGATGTTTTTGGAAGACCTGGTACAAGTTCCCAACCCTCTCGATCTCCAATTTCGCAATTGCATTCCTGCCATACAGCCAGCAGGGAGGAGGAGACTTCTGGTCACTTCTCCTTCTGAGTCCAGTGAACAAACAGGTTCATTCTTCCAAGCTCTGACAGCAGTGTCCCCAGGGGCTTCCTGGAGTGGGTGGGGCTGTGTCTGCTGCCGGTGGCACCTGCAGGTGGTGCAAAGTCATGGGCAAACCACACCCAAAATCCCCACTTGCTGCCTTTATCTTAGGGAACTCCCCTGTGAGAATGCAGGTCTAGGGGCAGGTGATCAGAATGGCAGTACCATCATCCCTTGCGACACCCCCATGCACATCAGAGATCTGGGTTCCAGTCCTGGCTCTGTTCTGGATTCTAGCTTCCTGCCAGTGCGCACCCTGGGAGGCAGCAGCTGATGACGGATCAAGGACTTGGGTCCCTGCCACCCATGTGGGAGACTTGGATGGAGTCCCGGGCTCCTGGCTTTTGCCTGGCCCAGCCCTAGATGGTTACAGGGATTTGGGGGAGTGAAGTAGCAGGTGATGGAGGATTTTGCTCCACCTCTGTGCCTTTCTGAGGGCATGGTGGTGCTGCCGGGTGAAGCCCGCCTCCTGTGACGTTAGCATCTCCTATGGGTGCTGGTTCCAGTCCTGGCTGCTCCGCTTCTGATCCAGCTCCCAGGCAAGAGGCCTCCTTATCTATGGAGAATACCTTCCCAGACTCCCCTGAGACCAGGGAGGGTACCAAACCCTATACTTGTAAACACTCTTGTTTTTTGTCTCTCTTGTGGAATGAGAAGGCCATGCCAAGATGGCTGCTGGCGAACGAGTGTCAGTTACTCAGGAATGGCTTTGAAACCCACCTGGCAACGGAGCCTGCCTGGCAACAGGCTGTGATTGGTTAGGGCATAAACCGCCCCTTGACCAGATTGGCTGCCTCGGCTATATAAGCTGCTGTACCAACTGAAATAAGCGAGTCTGCAGGCTGCTCGCCTCTGGCCCACTTTTTTTTTTTTTTAATAAAAAAATTTTTTTTTTGACAGGCAGAGTGGACAGTGAGAGAGAGAGAGAAAGGTCTTCCGGCGCACCGGGCTGATCCAAAGCCAGGAGTCAGGCGCCTCTCCTGGTCTCCCATGCAGGTGCAGGGCCCAAGCACTTGGGCCATCCTCCACTGCACTCCCGGGCCACAGCAGAGAGCTAGACTGGAAGAGGAGCAGCCAGGACAGAATCCGGCTAGCCCCAACCGGGACTAGAACCCCGTGTGCCAGCACCGCAGGCGGAGGACTAGCCTATTGAGCCACGGCACGGCCAACCTCTGGTCCACTTTCACCCGACTGCTGGGGTCTGTGTGGTGACTCCGCGCCTCTTGGCCCCACTGCGCTCCTCCTCTCAGAACGAATCCACAGCAACACCTCTCTCCCCCTCCCCCAGTATGAGCAAGTCTAGTTTATAACTAGGCGTGGAAGGCAGACTCACAAGCATGGCACCAGGATGACAACAGGCTGTGCCAAAAGCTGTTTAAAGCTTATGGGCGGGGTAAAGTGGGAAAGCCACAGCCTGCAGTGCCGGCATCCCATAGGGGTGCTGGTTCGAGTCCCCACTGCTCCACTTCCGATCCAGCTCTCTGCTATGGCCTGGGAAAGCAGTGGAGGATGGCCCAAGTGCTTGGGCCCCTGTGCCTGCATGGGAGACCTGGAAGAAGCTCCTGGCTCTTGGCTTCGGATCAGCCCAGCTCCGGCCATTGCGGCCAATTGGGGAGTGAACCAACAGATGAAAGACCTCTCTCTCTCTGTCTCTCTCTCTCTCTGTCTCTCTCTCTCTCTCTCTCCGCCTCTCCTTCTCTCTGTGTGTAACTCTGACATTCAAATAAATAAATACATCTTTTTAAAAAATTAAATAAAGCTTATGGGCTGTGTGTTTCTGGAATTTTCCACTTAATTTGGCCACAGTTGACCACAGGTAAGTGGAACTGTGGGACGGAGGCTTGGATGAGGGGAATATTGAATGGTTCTAGATTATGTGTGGCTGGCTGTCCCTTCTTTCTTTCTTTTTGAGAGAGAGAGAGAGAGAGAGAGAGAGAGAGAGAGAGATCTGTATTTTGCTGGGTCACTCCCCAGATGCCTACCAGAGCCGTGGCAGCGGAAGCCAGGAGCCAGGAGCTCCATCTGGGTCTCCTCCATGGGTGGCAGGGGCCCCCAAGCACCTGGGCCATCACCTGCCACTCCCAGGGCACAGTATCAGGGAGCTGGCCTGAGAAACGAAGCCAGGACTTGAACCCAGGCACTCCCACGTGGAAGGCAGGCATGATAAGCAGTGTCTCCACCACTGTGCCAAACGCCCGCCCCTCGTCTTTTGAAAACTGGGAACGTTTCCCAGGCGGCCTGAAAGGGACAGGAAAGGATGCGTGGTGGCCTCGACGGCCCTGGATCATCTAAAGCTGGGCTGGCTAAATACAGCTACCACCTGCTTCTGTCCAGCCTGTGAGCTGGGAACGGCTTTTTCCTTCTTAAATGGTTGGGGGAAAATATCTCCAAAGGCAAACTTCTCCAAGTGGGAAAACTACATGCAATGCAAATTTCTGTGTCCTCAAAGTCTTTCTAAAAAGTATCTCTTCGGGCTGGTTGTGTGGAGTAGCAGGTTAAGCCTCTGCCTGCAGCACTGGCATCCCATATGGGTGCTGGTTTGAGTCCCAGCTGCTCCGCTTCTGATCAGCTCTTTGTTATGGCTTGGGAAGGCAGTGGAAGATGGCCCAGGTGCTTGGGCCCCTGTACCTGCGTGGGAGACCTGGATGGAACTCCTGATTCCTGGCTTTAGCAGGCAATTGGGGGAGTGAATCAGCAGATGGAAGATCTCCTCTCTCTCTCTCTCTCTCTCTCTCTCTCTCTCTCTCTCCTCCATTTCAAATAAAATAGAAGTTAATAAGTACAACTGTAACAAAACACTGTGACAAAATGCACGCAACACAAAACGAACCATTTTAAACTGAACAGCGTACGTACATATGGTTATGCAACTGTCACCACCATCACTTTCTAGAACTTTCTCAACTTGCAAAACTGAAACTCTGTCCCCAGGTAAACAACCACTGCCCCTCCCCATCCTCCTGCCCCTAGCACCATGAACCTGCTTCCTGTCTCTCCTTAGCTGGCATCTGCCTGTTCTAGAAGTTTCTATCTGGCTTCTTTTACCTTGGAGCCTCTATGGGAGCTGTATTCCTTTTTCTTTTTTTTTTTCCCAAAGATTTATTTTTATTTCTTTGAAAGGCAGAGTGACAGAGAGAGAGGGACACACACACACACACACACACACAGAGTGAGGTCATTTATTTGCTGGTTTGCTCCCAAAATGGCCACAGTGGCTGGGGTAGGGCCAGGCGGAAGCCAGGAGCCAGGAGCTTCTTCCAGGTCTCCCACGCAGGTGCAGGGGCCCAAGCACTTGGGCCATCTTCCACTGCTTTCCTAGGCCACAGCAGACAGCTGGATGAGAAGTGAAGCAGCTAAGATTTAAACTGGAACCCATATGGGATGTTGGCCCTGAAGGCGGTGACTTTACTTGCTATGGGAAATGGGGTCTCTTAGCAACCCCGCCAGGGGCTGAGGGTGTTCCCACCACGCTCCTGTTTTCATATCTCATAGTCACAGCCCTGGTCTCAGGGCCCCAGCTGGCTGTGCACTGCGTGAGACTGCGAGGGAAGAGGTGGGGAGCAGGTGCCTGAAGTCCAGGCTTGGAAGGAAGCTGGTGACGGCAGGCAAGGGCAGCAGGGGGTGCTCGCTTCCTTCCCTCGGCTCCCACTGCAGATGCCCTGGGGCTGCATTCAAAGCTGACCTTTTCCACCCGCGTTCAGAAGGGACTGTCACCTGGGCCAGGTCTCCCCACCAGCACCGCCAGAGGCTGGGAGCTCCTCCTGGAGAACCATCCTGGCTGGGCCCTGGCTGGGCCCTGCCTCGGCCTCTGCTCAATGTGGGAGGGACCTTGAATCCGGTGCCCAGAGGAAGCAGAAGGCTGCCTGTGGCTCCCTGAGATGCTGAGAGCCAAGGGTTCATGCATTGTGGGCTTGGTCTCCAGTGGGGTTCTGTTGGGAAGTGGTGGTGCCTTTAAGAGGCGGAGCCCAAGGGGGGGATGATGAGGTCATTGTGGACTCTGCCTTGGGAGGGAGTTAAGGTGGTTCTCCAGGGATCTGGAATACATTATTGTTTAAATAGTTATTTGAAAGAGAGAGAGAGAGAGAGAGAGAGAGAGAGAGAGAGAGAGAGATCTGGCATCCTCTGGTTCACTCCCCACCTGGCCACGACAGCCAGGGCTGGGGCACACTGAAGCCAGGAGTCTGGGCCTCCATCCGGGCCTCCCCTGTGAGTGGCGGGGCCCAAAGCACTTTCTGCCTACACCTGCTCACCTGCCGCCTCCTAGGCTCTGCCTTAGCTGGGAGCTGGGGGCTAGAGCTAGATCTAGATCTAGGACTCCAATCCCAGCACTGTGATATGGGATGCAGGCTTCTCCCTCCTCCTCCTTCTCCTCCTCCTCCTCGGGAGACAGAGTAATAGAATTTCCACTCGCTGGTTCACTCCCCAAATGGCTGCAACGGCCGGAGCTGGGCTGATCCGAAGCCAGGAGCCAGGAGCTTCTTCCGGGTCTCCCATGCAGGTGCAGGGGCCCAAGCACTTGGGCCATCTTCTCCTGCTTTCCCAGGCCATAGCATAAATAAGAGAGCTGGATCAGAAGTGGAGCAGCTGGGACATGAACCAGCACCCGAACAGGATGCCGGCACGGCTGGCAGAGGCTTAGGCTACTGTGCCACAGCACCGGGTCCCCAGATGAAGCCTTTTTAACCAACGTTTCTCAGCTGTGTCGCATTCCTGCGTTTTCTAGAACATTGAAAAATTGCCTTTGGATTTCTATTGGATAGCTCTGGTCTAGACCACGGTGCCTCTAGGGGGCGCCACTCACACGTGTTCTCTGCGGCCGGCAGGTGAAAAATCCCCGGGGCCACAGCTGAGCCAGGGCAGGACAGGAGGGAGGTCCGAGTCGGGGCGGGGACTGGGTAGGGGAACTGTGAGTTGCTAATTGGACTTTGGATACCTGGCCGGTCCTCCAGGCAACAGGACCTTGCTTTCTGGCCATCGGGGGAAGGGTGGGGGCAGAGCCTGTTGCAATACTGGGACCACCTTGAAGCTTTGGCCACCTGGAGTTCAAGGGTCCTGCTTGAACTCCCGGCAGTGTGGCTGAGGTAGGCTGGGACGTGGGAGCCTGAGGAAGATGGCTGTCTTGAGTTGCAAAACACCCCCGGGGGCAAACTCGGTGTACACCGAGAAGGGAGGTTGATTTGGCTCACAGCTGTGCAAGTTCACAGACCCACTGAGGTTTGAGGGTTGCCAAGGGGGGACCCCAGGCTGCACAGAGCTTCAAGGGGAAGCTGCCCCGCGTCCTGGATGGGCGCTCCTGGCTCAAGTCCTGGCAGCTGTATTTCTGATCCCACCTTCCTGTTGATGTACCTGGGAAAGCAGCAGGTGGCAGCCCACGTGGCTGGGCTCCAGGATTCCTTCTTCCTTTACTTGAAACAGAGAGATTTTTCATTCACTGGTTGACTTCCCTGATGTCTGCAATGGCTGGGGTTGGGCCAGGCTGAAGCCAGGAACTCCATCTGAATGGCAGGGACCCAAGTATATGTGAGCCATTGGCAGGAAGCTGGACGGGAAGCGAGGCAGGACTTGAACGCAGGCCCACCAATATTAGGATCTGGGCATCCCAACTGGTGCAAACACCTGCCTCTGCCCCCCAGGACTCCAAGCTGGGGTCTCCACTTGGAGACACCTGGCAGATACCACCAGTGGGTTAATACAAGGGTCTTAGGGGAATGTTGAACACCCACAGTCATATCCAATTTGGAGGAGGGGGAGAGGCGAACGGGGCAGGAGGCGACTTGGTATCAGCCAGCAGAGGTCAGCTCTTCACTCTCAGGAGGGCAGAAGGTCAACTGGAACAAACCCAACTGGGTTGAGATCCAAAGTCCATCCTTTTCACCGCTATGCCAACTTTTGGATAAATAGCAGGATTTGGCAGCCTGAGCTTGCTTGCTTCCTCTTTTCTTATTTTCTTTTTCTTTCTTCCTTTCATTCCTTCTTTCTTTTTTTCTTTTTTTTTTTTTAAGATTTATTTTATTTATGTGAAAGGCAGAGAGAGAGAGTCTTCCATCTGCTGTTCACTCCTCCAAGTAGCTGAAATGGCTGGGCTGGGCCAGGCCAAAGCCAGGGAACTTCATCCAGGTCTCCCACGTGAGTGCAGGAACCCAAGCACCTGGGCCATCTTCCACTGTCTTCACAGGCACAACATCAGGGAGCTGGATGGGAAGTGGAGCAGCTGGGACTTGAACCGGCGCCCACAGGGGATGCAGGTGCTGCAAGTGGTGGCTTAACCCACCATGTCACAGCGCTGGCCCCCTCCCTCTTTCTTTTTAATACTCTTGTCATTTAAAATCTTTTTTTAAACCTTGAGAGCCAGAGAGAGAGACAAAGATCTTCCATCTGCTGGCTTATCCCCCTAAATGCTTGCTATACCTGGAGCTGGATCAGGCTAATGACAGAAGCTGGGAACTCAACCCAGGGACTCAGTCCCTTAAGCTACCTCCCAGAGTCTCATTAGAGGCCAGAGCTGGGACCTGAACCCAGGCACTCTGATGGGGGAGGGAGGCACCCTAACCACTAGCCCAAATGCCTGTGCCTGCTTCTCAGCTCTCTCATCTAAACTTTCTTTTCTGAACCTTTCTGAGCACTCCTGCTTCTCACCGTGTTCCCCCGGAGTGCCCTGTAGGTCTCCCGTGGGCCCTGGTTTTCTGTTGCCACCTGCAGCCTCTGTGCGGGCTTAGGGATGCCAGCTCTCCCCAGCCTTCCGCTGTCTTCTAAGTGGATCCGGCCGTCGGAAAGCTCTTTGGATAAGAGCAGTCCGGGACTCTGTAGTCACGTGGTCCCCGCCGGTCATGCATGTGTCCCTGGAGCTGGGAGTTGGGTTGGACTCTCCACCATCTCTCCTGGGATACAAGGTCTGGCTCTGACCAGGCAACTCCAGAGTGGTGTCGTCCTTGGCTGTTTGCTGTCTGACCGCTAGGTGGCAGTGTCGCCCACGAGTATTCTCCATCCGACCACTAGGTGGCAGTGTCATCCTGCCTGCATCTTGACCGGTCCACCTGTTCATAGTTCACTGACCAAGGCCCCTTTTCCAGGCCCTCCAGGGAGGTAGGAGCTGGGGACAGGGCTTTAAACAAAGCCGGGAACTTCATTTTATGCTTTCCCATCTAATTTGTCCGATTAGTTGATGGTTGTCTTCAGGTCTTTGCTCCGAGTGAGTCTGGGGTTCGGGAAGGGTGTTGTTTTTTGTTTGTTTGTTTTGACAAGAAAGTCCTTAAAGATTGTGTCTAAGTCACCAAAGCTGACATGTCGGGAGCAGGATCTGGTCGATGATTTTGCTTTCCTGTCACAGTGACAGTGAATATTATCGGCTGGCTATTGCCCTGACAACCGCAGTTTTGAAATGGGGTGCAGGAGCCTCAGGGGGTCCATAAAACCAAATTACTATTATAACCATCATTTAAAATATTTATTTATTTATTTGAAAGGCAGAGAGAGAGAGAGAGAGAGAGAGAGAGGTCTTGCATCCACTGCTTCACTCCCCAAGTGCCTACAACAACTGGGACTGGACCAGGTAGAAGCCAGGAGCCAGGAGCTCCATCCGGTTCTCCCATGTGGGTGGCAGGGCCCAAGTAGCTCCTTGCTAATGCACCTGGGAAGGCAGCATGTGATGGCCCAAGTGCTGGGGTCCCTGCCACCCACCTGGGAGACCTGGATGGAGCTCCTGGCTCCTGGCTTCAGCCTCGCCCAGCCTTGGTGGCTATTGTGGCTATCTGGGGAAGGAACCTTGCGGTGGAATGAGAAGGCCATGCCAAGATGGCTGCTGGCAAGCGAGCATCAGTTACTCAGGAATGGCTTTGAAACCCACCTGGCAACGGACCTGCCTGGCAACAGGCTGTGATTGGATGGCTTTGGAAACCACATGGCAAATGAGCCTGCCTGGCAGGCTGTGATTGGTTAGGGCATAAACCGCCCCTTGACCGGATTGGCTGCCTTGGCTAGTTAAACCCCTGTACCAACTGAAATAAAAGAGTCTGTGGGCTGCTCGCCTCTGGCCCGCTTTCACCCAACTCCCGGGGTCTGTGTGGTGACTCCGCGCCTCTTGCCCCCACCATGCTCCTCCTCTCAGAATGAATCCACCACCACATCACCTGTAGATGGAAGACATCTCTCTCTCCCTCTGCCTTTTAAATAAATAAATCTTTAAAAAAAAGTAATTGCATTGGGGCCAGCACTGTGGCACAGTGGGTAAAACCGCCGTCTGCAATGCTGGCATCCCATATGAGCACTGGTTCAAGTCCTGGCTGCTCCACTTCTGATCCAGCTCTCTGCTGTGGCCTGGGAAAGTAGTAGAAGATGGCCCAAGTGCTTGGGCCCCTGCACCCATGTGGGAGACCTGGGAGAAGTTCTTGGCTTCCAGCTTCAGATTGGCGCAGCTCTGGCCATTGCGGCTAATTGGGGAGTGAAACAGCAGATGGAAAACCTCTCTCCCTCTCTCTCTCTCTTTCTGCCTCTGCTTATCTCTCTGCATAACTCTGACTTTCAAATAAATAAGTAAGTAAATCTTTAAAAATATATAACTGCATGGATTCAAAATTCTTTTGCATCCAACCTTCAGGTTTTTTAAAATCAAATATATTTTATTTATTTATTTGAAAGCACTTGGACCATCTTCCACTGCTTTCCCAGGCCTTAGCAGGGAGCTGGATCAGAAGTGGAGCAGCCGGGACTAGAACCTGTGCTCATATAGGATGCTGGCGCTGCAGGCGGAGGCTTCACCACTATACCACAGCAGCCACCCCCCAAACTGATGTTTCAAGTCCACTTTTCCACGAACTTTTGGAAGTACTCTCCTGTGATGGTTTCCATTCTTCCAGATAGGAAAGTGATGGCACAGAGAGGTTAAGTCACTTCCCTGAGGTCACACATCCAGGAAATCCAGATGCCAGGGGAGGGGGTGGCTGGTGGTGCCACACCTCTCAGTGTCTCCTACCAGCTTTAGAGCTGGCATGTGGGACACACCGGGGCGTCAGTGACACGCCCGGCCTCTGATGTCCCTTGGTTTGCTTTTCATTTATTTTATATATTTCCATTTTACTTGAAAGGCAGAGAGAGAGAGAGAGAGAGAGAGACTTCCATCTGCTGGTTTACTCCTCAAATACCCACAATAGCCAGGTCTTGGCGAGGCTAAAGCCAGGAGCCTGGAATCCAATCTGGGTCTCCCACGGGGGCGACAGGGACCCCCGCACCTGAGCCGTCACCTGCTGCTTCCCAGGGTGTGCGTGTGCAGGGAGCTGGACTCCACACTGGTACTCCCTGAGGATCGCTCACTTCTCAGCTACAGATTTTGTGAGCTGTCCTAAACCCCTTTCTGCAAACAAGCAAGCATTTTCCTTACGGGGCCAAAGAAAAGCCCTCAGCCAGACGATGAGCAGTGACGCCCTTTGCTTACGGGAATGGACACAGCCCTTTGGCTCCTAACTGCACACTTGCTGGTTTGGGGCTGTCGATTTTATTCACGGAAACATCCCCCAGACAGGCACGGAGGTGAGGACCTAGTGATAGGGTGAGGAGTGTCCCTCACTGCCTTCCTCTGTGTGGCGAAGCTTCTGGAAGGCTGCTGAGGGTGTGTGTGGGGTGCATACAGGCAGGTACAGGTAGCAGGTGCACCAGACAAGGCTGAATGTAGCAGGAAGTCAGGTTGTCAGTCCCCAGCCACCTGTGCCTTCACCGTGAGCCAGGAGTGACTGCTTCCTGCCACCTGCAGAGGGTCTGGCCTGTGACCTCACTGAGGGCTCTCTCCAGTTTGTGGCACAGGACTCCAGTGGGGTAGGGTGGGGCAGCAGGTGTGTCAGAGGCACAGAGGGGCAAAGCTTTCTGGATTCTTCTGCCCTGGGTGCCAGGTGTATCCAAGAGGCATTCTACTATCCATTGGGGTTCACGAGTGCTTCTGAGTTCAGACTTCTAGAATAGTCTAGGAAGGCTGCTCCTAAGCTTTTTGGATGGGCGCATGGAGTGGGGGTGAAGGGCACTGCTCCGCACTCCCAGCCAGGACGGCTTCTTCCTCAGCCCTGTCCATCTCTCCTTCCGGAAACTCACCAAGCCCCGCCTCCCCCAAGCCCCGCCTCCTCCAAGCCCCAACTCCTTCCCAGGTCTCCCAAGTCCCCGTGCAGGGCCAAGGGGAGGCAATGACCACTCTTATCCAAAAAGCTCTTGAATTCAACTGTTTTTTCGCTTCGTTTTTATTTTTTTTGTGTGTTTTGTCGTTGTTTTGTTGTCATGCAATAATTCACAGTCCCAAGCCCACAGCTTTCAAACAAGGTAGGAAAGAAAAAAAGAAAAGAAAAAAAGAAAAAAAAAAAAGAGAAAAAATATCCAAAAAAATAGAAGCAAAGGAATCGGAGGTGGAGGTGGTGGTGGTTTTGTGTTGGTATTTTTTCTTCTTTTGTTATTTCAAGCAAGATCAAATGTCAGAAAAGAATGCTTTTTCCTCGATCCTTGATTTTTTTTTTGTCCTTTTTAAAATAGTTTCTTGTTATTATTATTATTGTTATTTTTTTTAAAGCTGATTCCTGCAGGCAGTAATAGTGGGGTCTGGGAGATCACCGGCGAGAGCTCGCGTGCGCCCCTAGCGGCCGAGTCCGCGCCCGAGGCCCCCAGCAGGTCTTGAAGGTCACCGGAGAGTGCTCGCGTGCGCCCCTAGCGGCCGAGTCCGCGCCCGAGGCCCCCCAGCGGGTTTGGAAAATCACCGGCGAGCGCTCGCGTGCGCCCCTAGCGGCCGCGCTCGGCAGCCCTCAGCCGGAAGAGGAAAGCTTCAGTTCAGATGATAAAACTCATCAATAGAAATGATCGCGGTCTCCCCGTTTTCTTTTAAAAATGTGATCGTGTGTGCGTGTGTGTGTGTGTGTGTGTGCGTGCGTGTGCGGTGCCGGTGTCCCCACAGTTGTCCAGAAATGGTTGCGTGGATTCCAGATCTCTTGGCTGCGTGGTTTGTCTTTTGTCTGCGGGATCCCCGGCCCTGATCCGCACGCGACACCCCAACCCCTTTGCGGGGGGGTTAGGGGGAGGGGGCGCTGGCTCGGGGACCCCCTCCCCCCTTCCCTGCGCTCGCGGTCCAGCGCCGGCCCCCTCGGCGACTCCGGGAGTCTCCTGGGCCTGGGCGCGGGGTGCGCGCGGGGTGCGCGCGCGGGGCCAGCTCGCCCGGGGGTGGGGGTGGGGGGCTTAGCACCAATCCTCGTCGCTCTCGCTGTACACTTCGTGCAGGCTTTTGCGGGAGCCGGGCCCGCGGGGCCTGGCCAGTCCGTGGACCGGGTAGTAGCCGTTGGGGACCCGCCGGCCGTGCCGCGCGGGCGAGGCACACGCTGGGCCCGCGGCCCGGGGAGTCCTGGGCGAGCGGCTCGCGGGGCCCGGGGGCGCGGCGTAGGGCCCGGCCGCCACCTCCTCGTCGTCGCCGAGGCCGCCTCCGCTGCCGCGGCCGGGGCCTTCGGGCTCGTCGTAGTCGGAGCTCCGGTAGTAGCCGTGCGGGTGCGCGTGCGCGTGCGTGTGCGAGTGCGGGTGCGCGTGCGGGCCGGACGCGGGCCACCGGGCCCCGCCGCCGCCGCCGTGCCGACACGCCCGGGGAGACTCGTCCCGGGCCGCGCCCGGGCCCCGCCGCTCCAAGGCCGGCGAGCGGCCGGCGCCGTGGCCCCCAGCGGGCGGGGGCTCAGCCGCGGGGCCCGGGTACCTCCGAGGGCCGCCGGGAGCCGCCCGGCCCGGCCTGGCCACCGCCTGCTGCTGCTGCGGGGGACCCACGCCTCCGACCTTGCGGACCACGGGGGAGTAGGACACGAGTGGCCGGGGGGTGCAGGGGGTCTGGGGGAGCTGGCGGCGTCCCCGCTGCGGAGTGCTGGTACCGGACGTAGAAGGGACGGGGCTTCCACTTACTGAACTACTGCCCTACACGAAAATTGAAACAAAGGAAATCAAAAAAAAAGATACAACGAAATCGACCAGAGGACGGGAGGGGAGACACACGGGGGGGGGCAGTTGGAGGAGGGGGGAGAGGAGGGGAGGAGAAGTGGGTGCAGAAGGGGGAAGAGGAAGAAGGGGAGGAGGGGGGAGGGGGAGAAGGGGGGGAGACAGTGGGGGCAGGAGGGAGGAGGAAGAGGGGGAGGAGGGGGAAGGAGGAGGAGGAGAGGAGGGGGAGAGGAAGAGGAGGAGTGGGAGAGTAGGGGGAGAGGGAAAGGGGGCGCGGAGGGGTAGGGGGAGAGGAAGAAGATGAGGGAGGGTAAAGGGAGGGGGAGAGGAATGGGGAGGAGGAGGGAGAGGAGGGGGAGGGGAGGAGGAGGGGAGGGAGGCGGGAGGGGTGCAGGGAAATGGGGGGGCGCGGAGGGGCGGAGCCACAGGACGTTTGAACGGAAAACAGGAGAAAGCCACAGCCACAGGGAGGCACGGGGTGGGCGGGAAGAGGGGTCAGAAACCAACACAACGAGGTGAGAAGAGAAATGAGAAATGGATTCCTGTAAGTCTCGGGGTTAAAGACCGCGGTGTTCCCCCACCTCACTCACAGGTGCGTCCAAAGGACAGAAAGAATCGGAAGGAAAAGTGGGGAAGCCAGGTGATGGGGTGGGGCGGAGCGAGAGGCGGGCGGTGGGCGTGCGGCTGGGGGCGGGGCGGGGCGGGGGCGGGGCCCTCCCCTCCCGCTCCCCCTCCCCGCCCCTCCCCCAGCAGGTCTCGCCGCGGGGGGCGGGGGTCCCGCGGCCGCGCCCACCTGCCGGTGCGTGGTGTGCTCCCGGCCCTCGCTGGGCGAGCGGGACCAGCGCTGGTCCCGGGCGCGGGCGCGGCCGTGGCCATGGTCGGGCCGGTCCTGCGGGCCGTAGCGTTCCTTGTCGGCGGCCGCCGGGCCGGGGTGGTGGTGGTGGTGGTGGTGGTGATGCGGCCGGTGCTTCCGGTCCTTGGGCCGGCCGCGCTCCTGCTCTCGCTCTCTGGACGGCAGGTCCCCGGACTGGGTGGTCATGCTGAGGTCCGTGCCCAAGCCTGGGACGGGACGCGCGCAGAGGGCGGTGAGCGGGCAGGGCGCGTGCGCACGGTGGGGGCCGCCTCGGAGGGGAGCCCCGCGCGGGGGCGGCCCACCTGTGTCCACGTCGGTGTAGCGGCCCAGGGAGCGCTCGGAGGTGCGATGCGCGCGCTCGCGACGCCGCGGGTGGTGTCGCTGGTTCTCCTCGGGTGGGACGCGCTCCAGGGAGTAGTCGTCCAGGCGCCGGGACGCCTTGGGGCCCAGCACGGAGGCCGAGCGCTTCATGGGGCTGGTGTCACAGATGGTCTGGGGACGGGACAGGCCACGGCGGCCGGGCTCAGCGGCGCGCACCGGGGGGCGCCCTGCTTCCTGCCTGCCTGGTGCCTGGCTGGCTGGCCCGGGGCGGGGGGATGCCACGGTCCGGAGGCTGGGATGTGGCTTGCGGTGCATGGGGGCACTGCTCCTTCCGGGGGTCCTTCCTGGGTGGGGCGGAGGACTGGCCCCCATGGGATCTGCCCACCCTGGCCTGCCTCGCGGGGCCACCGCCTGGGGGGGACCCCTTCTGCTCTGCTCAGCACCAAGCACACGCCTCCTTGGCTAACAGGACACCCTTGACTCTGGACACCCTGGCCTCTGAGGCACCCTGGGGATAAGCAGGGTTCCCCTCCCCCTTTTAGATCCTTGGCCTTGGGGTGCTGCACCTGCCCCGGGGGTGGGGCGGGTGGGAGTGGCCTCACTGCTCAGCCTGTAGCAGTCAGGGGCTAAGGCCCAGTGGTGCTGGAAGGGACAGAGTGAGGGTTGGAGGAGGTGCAATGAGAGAGGGAAAGAGAGAGAGAGAGAGACCAGATCGGCTTCTGGGAGCGTGAGGGGTCCAGGATCCCTGAATGGGAAGCTTGGGAAAGAAGAGAGTGGGTGGTGGGGGTGGAGATGGCCCCTTGGACACGGAGGACACAACACACGAGGAGGGGGGCTCCGTGGGGGGCGGCCGAGGGGCGTGAGCTGCAAAGAAGGGGTGGGCTGGGAGAAAGAGGGCGGGCAGAGTGATGACGGGACTCCCCAGAGGGGGGGTGGGGAGGAAGAGGGGGCCAGAGCCGAGCTCGGTAGGATACATACACTGAGATCACTCCCACGTGGCCGGCCCCTTCTCCTCTGTCACAGCCCCACGGGACGGTGCACACAGGAAAAACAGAAAAAAACATAAATATAAAAGGCAGGCGAGAGCGAGTGGATGGAGGTGGTGAAATAGTGGGGACGAGGGAGGGAGGAGAGAGGAGGAGGAGGAGAGGTTACGGTCCCCCCCTCCCCTGCCATCCCCGCTTCGGGCACACTGGAGACAGACAGGAGACACAGACAGATGGCGGAGGCACAAGGTTGACAGGTAGGGCAGCGCGGCCACAGGCCCTTGGCTCATGCCATGCCTCCGGGAGGGCTCTGACTCCGGCTGGGGTTTGTCCCCCACTCTCTCCTGGGGCCCTTCACTCCTGTGGGAGGGGGACCGTGCAGCTCGCATGCACCGCCTCTGGCCCCGCCCCCTGGTGCGCAGCAGCCAGAGCCCAGGCCCAGAAGCGGCCCCCGGCTCATCCAGGCACAGAGCAGCCACATGAAGCTCGTCACAGCCAGACATGCTGACCCCTGCCTTTTTGTTCTCAGGGCTCCCCACCCCACGCCGACCCCCTGCCCCGGGGTAGGGGTGGGGCTCCTGCTTTGCTGGCCAACTGGGCAGCCAGCCATGCCTCTGGCTGTCCCTGTGCACCGGGGACACACGCAGCGAGGGCCCACCTGCCTCCATGCCGAGTGGGCTGCGGTAGCCGGCCAAGCAGCCAATCAGACACGCGTATCAGGTGCTAGGCACACGCTCTGGCTCCGCCTACTACCCGCCCCGCCCTCTTCCAGACCCGACAGGAAGTCCCGCCCTCAGCTCGCCCCAGACCCACCCACCACTCCTCCACTGTGCGCATGTGCGTTGCGTGTGTGCATGTGTGTACACGCGTGTGTAGGTATGACGTGCGTGTCCACATGTGACTCTGCGACATGCGTTTTTGGACGGATTCCTCTCCTGTCACGCCCATCTACCACATTTTCTCCCCTTTCTTCACCCCCCCCCCCCAAACAGGACAGAGAGAAACCACGTGTGCTTGGACACGTACAGGTGTGGGCAGGGAGGGGGCGGGGCCTGCACCTGCCAAGGAGCCGGCA